GGTGGTGGTGATTGTGACAGTGGTGGTGGTGATGGTGATGATGCAGTATTGGTGGTGATGCTGGCAGTGGTGATGATGATGGTGGTGGTGATGGTAATGGTGGTAGTGATGGTTGTCTCGGTGATGGTGGTAATATTGGTGGCGAGGGAGGCATCAGGGTGGGGCTGCCCAGCTCAGTTAGTCCCCTGGACAGAAGTGGGAGGAAGGATGGGTGAGTCTGGAGCAGGAGGCGTAAGAGCAGGTAATTCCGGCTGCCCACGGCTGCGATCGCAGAGAACCTGCAGGCTGGGAGGCCTCAGGGCAGGGACGAGGCTCCCTGTGGGGCTCCAGGCTGGAAGGAACGACCCGGGGCTCCCTTCTCCCTGCCAAGTGGGGAGGAGGCCCGTAATTCAGCCCCTTCCTTGTGATGTGAGTTTGGGGTAACGTCCGACAGGGAGCTCAGCAAGGGTCCCTGGCCCCGCCCAGCACCTCCGTGTGGGTCCACACTCACCCAGCTCAAGAGCCGGCTTCCTCCCTGGTCCTGGGGAGCCCTGTTCTCTGTGCCCCAGCGGCCCCGCCTGCACCCTGACTCCCAGTCTTTGGCTGCACAGCACCCCCTCCAGAGCAGGCCAGCTGGCACGCGAGGCCCTCTCCCTGCGGAAGGAAGTTCTGGAGGAGGGAGGAGACTCCGGGGCTGGGACCATGGCGGGCAGAAGGCCGACCTGACATGCTCAGGGGTGTGGGCTGGGCAGTCTCGGGGCAGCTGGCGAGGGTGGGAGATCACTGCCCCCTCCTGGCCATGAGGCCCGCGCCATGCCCCCTGCAGGCCCCTCTTCACAATCCCTGTGAGCCAGCACCCTTCTCAGAGGGATGAGCAGGCATTTCTCCTGGCGGCCGGCCCAGGCCCTGGCTCTGTGCCCCCACCCCCTGGCTCAGGCTGAGGAGGTGCCAACTGAGCCCACCTCCCCGGCGGCAGCAGGACCCAATCCCGGCTCTGCTGAGACCACAGACCAAAGCCCCCGATAACAAGGTGGGCTTGGCCCCTCCTCAGGCCCCAGGCACTCCTTTGAAATGTCTGAGGACAAGGGGTGGGGGCCACCACGACCACAGAGACCCACCTGAGCAGACCCCAGCCCTCACCCCCCTCCACCCCTCCCTCCCTGGACGAGTGCAGGCATCCCCCCAAAGGCACAGGCTCCTGGGAGAGTGGAGGCTGTGGGAAGGCCAGGGGGTGCCCAGGTGGCCTCGGCTCTCCTGGCAGTCAGGGGCAGAGGCTGGCGGCCACGGGGTGCCCATCCAGGCGGGGCAGACCGCAGCCAGCAGGGACAGGGTTAAGAGCAGGCCTCCCGGCCTCCCTCCCCTTTCCCTTGAAATGGCTCCCTGGTTCCAGAATGACTCCCTTCCCCTCTTAATCTGTATTTTACGAGTGAGAAGCTTTGCATTATGCAAATCGTTAGATAGGAACAGGTGACATTTCAGCAAAGAACATGAGCGGTGCGGGCCAGCCGGGCGGGCGGCTGATTCAGACATTAGTATTTGTCACCAGGGCGGCGGGGGCGGAGGGGGGCCCGCGATCCACACCTTAAGGTGGAGGCAAGGGCTAGCCCACCCCTCATCCCCCGGCACCCGGGCAAGGGAGCTTCGGGCACCAGACACCGCTCACATAGGGGCAGGGCCAGCAGAGCCCACGGACAGATGGGGAAACCAAGGCACAGGCCGAAGCACGGAGCGAGCCCCAGGGCCTCCGGCGGGAGAGGGAGCAGGAGTCCAGCCAGGCAGGCTGTCAGGGGGCCAGGTCTTCATGCCCCTTCCCGCTGCGCCCAGACGGCCACCAGCGCCCGGACCAGGCCTGCCCTGCTGGCTCTCCACATGCACCTGGGGTGGCCTGGACCCTCACAGCGGCCCTGGCACTCATGGCCCCCACCCAGGGCTACACCGCCCATCCTACAGACCACTCCTCCAGCCCCACCTCTGCCCAAGGAACCCACAGACCCCCGCCCTCCTTGCCACACCCCACCCTGCTCCTCTGGAGCCCAGGGGCTCCCCTGGCCCCTCCAGCACAAGCAGCCCACATGTGCCACAGCCATCAGTCATCCGGCTGTCAGCGCACCCCCAGCCATTTCCCGGGAAGTTGTTTGAGAGGAAACGGGCGGAAAGAGAGTGAGGGGCCACCGCACTTCACAGGGGAGCCCCAGGCGTGTCCTTCAATTTTCTGGCTGCCTACCAGCGCTCAACCCTGAGCCCCAAGCTTGGATGGGCATCCGATGGGAACTCCGGTTCTGTGGCTACAGCCGCTCGCTCCCACAAGGCCCTGAGACCTTCGCGGGGGCCTCAGGAGGGCGCGGAGCTCCCGGGCTCAGGGCCTGGCTGCTGTGCGGCTGGGTAGGGCCAGCCGGTCAGCCTAGGAAGCTCTGCTGGCCAGGCCCCGGGATGGAGCAGCCACACAGCTCAGGCCCTGCAGGCCTGTGGCTCTCAGGCCAGAGTTGTGCTCAAGGCCAATCTGCTGCCTTGGCTGGAGGTGGAGGGTGTGGACTGAACTCCCGTCTCACTCAGTCTGCAGAGCCCCGGCCCCCAGCAGGTGCTCAGAGGAGCTGAGGAGGGGGGTGGTCACTAACGGGCTCCTTCACTGGGCAGCCTCACCAAGGAGCCGCAACCACCAGCATTCCTGCTGAGAAAGGCCAAGCTGGAAGGCCTTACAACTCCCACGGCCCCTCTGAAACCCAGGATGAAGAGAGGCTGGGCCTAGGGTCCGGGCGGCAGCCCTCACCCCAGCCACTGTGCAATCCCAGCTGGGGTGTGGACAGTGCCTCCCCCTCCCCAAGGGAGCAGCTCTCTTGGGGAGGCTCTGAGTGGCCGGAGTAGCGGTCACTCCTCACATTCACGGCCCCCTCCGTGCCCTGACTGGAAGGGAAGGGTAGTGGGTAGACGGAGGAGAGGGAAGCCTCGCTCTCAGGACCCCCAGACCCCCCTCAGCTTTGGAGGCAATGCCTAACAGTGTGATGGTGTCAGGACACACTTCCCAGGGAGGCTTTTGGGTCCTGAGATGGGGCAGAACCTCACACATGGGAAGCTCCCCACAGGAATGGAGGGGCCAGGGCTCAGGGCCCAGAGACAAGCCCTGGGCTGCCCGCCCTCCCAGGGCCTTTGCCTGCACACTATGGGGGTGCCTCTCCCCCCGCAGAGGCCAGGCGGGGGCTCACCACAAAGGGAACTCCCAGGTGCACCCTGATCCCTCTGGCTGTTTATGGGACCTGCCCCAGGCACACTGGTGGCTGGCCTGTGCTCAGTGGGAGAGAGCTGACCCCAGGGACACTGCACGGGATGGGGACGGGGGAGCCTGCCTCTCACAACCCACAGGGCGGATCCCGCAGTCACCCAGCAAACACTGTGAGCCCTGGCAGCAGCTTAGGGGGTGGGGAGGAACACAGCAGGCCCAGGTGGGCTGAGCGCCAGGCAGGGACGGCCTGGCCAGGGCGGGGAGAGGGGAGCCAGTCAGGTCGGCCACGAGGACTGAAGGACTGAGCGTCGACAGGGGCGGCAGGGCTCGCACGCTGCACACTGCCTTCTGGCCCGCGGGTCCAAGCCACGCCGACCCCCTCCCTCACCCGGACCTTTCTTGCAGAGCAGACAGAGCAAACTGCACAAGGAGGACCAGCTTGAGACGTGCATGCAGCCTGAGATCGGGAGATGGCGCAGCTCGGCCACCGGCCAGGGTGGATGCTCGGAGCCGGGAGGGCACCCCAGGTGGGAGAGGAGCAGCCCGAGCTGAGGCGGGAGCGGGCTGGGCGTGGCCGAGCGAAGGGCCGGCCAGTCAGAGAGGCCGCGGGGACCGGAGCTGGGAGGCTTCGAATCGCAAGTGGGTCTGCGTGCGCAGCGGAGGGGAGGAGGGGCTGCCCGACGTCGCGGACAGGTAAAGGGGAGTGTCCTCACGGAGGGTACCGCAGATCCCAGCCTAGATGCTTCACCGCCCTGCAGGCGTGGGGGCTGGAGGGGAGCCTCGCTGGGGCCCCCGTGGCCTGTGTGCGGGAACCCGCTGCCGATCCCTCCAGGCTGTCCCCTGAGAACCCCCTGTTCCACACCTTCGGAGGCCTGTTTCCAACTGGGAGAGGAGGAGGGGGGCCGCCCCGTAGTCAGATGCCACGTGGACCTGCTCCCATGTCCCTCTGAGCTGTCCTCGGAGCCGGGCAGGTGAGGACAGGCCCCATAAAGCGGCCAGAGGTGGCCGTCCAGGCCCGCTCCCCGGGTCAGGTCCCCCAAGAGGCCCCGTCCCGCCGCGGCTCCGCCCCAGAGGCCTCGCCCCGCGCCCTCAGCACCCCTGCCCGAGGCCCCGCCCCCAGAGGCCTCGCCCCCTAGAGGCCCCGCCTCGCGCCCTCATCTGACCTGCCCGAGGCCCCGCCCCTCCTAGGCCCCGCCCCGCGCCCTCAGCGCCACTGCCCGAGGCCCCGCCCTGCACCCAGAGGTCCCGCCCCACGCCCTCAGCAGCCCCAGCCCGAGACCCCGCCCCAGAGGCCCCGCCCCCAAACCCTGGGCCCCCCGCACCTCCCAGCCCTCTGTCCGTCTAGCGAAGGGCAGGCGTGTGTCCTGGTACCTCCCGTCCAGGAGCGCCCCGCACCGCAGTGACATTTAAGTTGAAAGGCGAGGACGGTGCCTGCCTCACTGCGAGTTGGCCTGAATTAACATGAGAAAAGGGAAGCCTCTTCCTTATCGCAGGGAATCCTCCCGGCTGCTCGCCTTCCCCGAGCGCCGTCCCATTGTCTACAGTCAATAATCGCTTACTTTCAGCCTCGTAAATGTCATTCTCGGGGTGCTCATAAACAGCCCCGCTCCCTTTTTAAATTAGCAAGTAGAGATATTTATGGGTTTCTATTAAGGGTGTTGGGTGGCGGAGTCGCAGGAGGAGATGGCTGAGTCCTAGGCCGGGGCTCCGGGAGCCCAAATAATGGAGAGGGGTGGGCAGCCCTCTGGAGCCTGAGCCCCCATCCCAACCACCCCACAGACCAGACAGCCTTGATGCCTGCAGTTCAGCTGGGTGTGGGAGGGGGACCTCTCTGAGGGGCTCGAAGCTGCAGGAGGGTGAGATTCGGGGTGGGGTGGGGGAGTCCCAGCACAGAGCAATCAGACCTCCCTCACTAGTGGGGGCCCCAAGCCCTACCCCAAGCACCTCACTAGGCCCTGCAGGGCAGGTGGCTGGAGGGAAGGTGGTCGTCATTGAACCTGAGAGGGCCCCTTACGGGATCATGACACTGATGACTCACAAGCGCACCCCTCCAGCTGGAGGGCCCACAGCCTCTGCCGCCTGCATGAGCCCCCATGAGGCCCTTCCTGCCCAGCAGCCACTCCTTGCTGGAGCCACAAGGATATTTTGGAACAATCTGGAGTTGAAGTCACAGACAGTACAGAGTTCCAACACACCCGCCTACTGCTCCCTCTCCTTCCTTAGGGGTCACATTTGTCACAGCTAAGACCCCTCAACCACCCTCACCACGTTCCTCGACTTTCCCACGCCCCCGAGACGTCCCTGTGGTCGTCCAGGACCCCTCCTGTGCCCATGCTGCCTCCTGGGCCCTCCTTTCTCCTCAATGTCAGGCCTGGACGGCTTGAGGACGGGCCCTGTGACCGTGGGACGTCTGGTCTGACCCTGGTGGAGAAGACTGGGGGGGGGGGCGGTGACATGCCCCACTGTCACTCTTCCCAGGGGCAACCACTCTGCTGGGTCCCCCAGGGGCGGTGAACACTCTGCCCTCTGGGCCCTGAGCCCGGACGGGTCACTAAGTGCAGCCCCCATCAAGGAGGGTTAAGCTCCTCCTCTGAGAAGGGGTCCAGTACATTTCACAGAGAACCCACCAGGCCCCCACCCACGCCTTGCGGCCCTGAGGCCTCAGTGCCACACACACACACCCCACCCCACCGCCTCTGCAGACCCCACCCCTGCCCTCAGGCCCCCCACCACAGCCCCGTCTGCTCCTGCGCTGGCGCTGGCCCTTGTGAAGGGTCGAGGGCCGCCTCGTCACACCAGACACACTCACGGGTCAGGGCCACCAAGGGCCACACAAGGAGGACTTGCCGTTCCTTAGTCTGTGCGTGAGCATGCCAGCCTTTTGCAAAGCTGTCTCCGACTCACCACAGCCCCTCCAATGGGGGGAAGCCTGGTGGCAGAGGTGAGGGAGAGGTGGTGAGTTGGGAGGACCCCAGGCAGGCCGGGTGGACAGATGGCGGTCAGGAAGACGGAGGCTCAGAGCAGCAGGACGGGCCTGCACAGGCCAGCTCAGGGCCCAGAGCGCCGGGCTGGGCCGGGAAGTGGACGCCAACAGGCTCGGGCCATGGGGCCCTTTGGCCACAAGGAGACTATGTCTTCCTCCCCTCCATGGCCTCAACAGAGGTGATGTAAGAGGTTAAAGACATCTGATAGGGACAAATATGGACAGATTCCAGGCTGGCTCACACAGCGTGACCTCGGGGGGCTCTGAAACGATCCTGCTTTTCTAAAGGCAGGTGAGAACAGTCAGACCTCATGGTGAAGGCCCCATCTGCCCCAGCAAGGGAGCAGTTGCTGCCCACCCTGCCCTGCTCCGCCCTGCCAAGGGACAGGGCCCCAGTGGTCACCCAGCCGAGCTGGTCTTCCCGCTCAGGAGAGTGGCAGGACTGGGTGTGGCATGGGCTCCCGGGCTACGTCTGGGCCAGTGCCACTGTCACTGAAGGGCCTCCCCCACAGCTGCAGCCCAGGAGAGGTGGGACAAGTGATGTCCAGCGGGTGAGGTGTCACACGAGCAGCTGTGGGAGCAGCTGGTGGGGAGGCTGGAGGCTGGGAGCCCAGATAGGAGCCCAGACAGTCGTCCTGATGCTGGGGCAGTCTCCTGTCCCCACCCAGGCACGGCTTGGCACCCATGGGCTCCAACTGAACCATCTCCCTCGCAGCCAGGATGCATTAGTGGGAGCTGGGCCCCGAGAGTGGGCTGGAGGGGGTGCTGTCCTGCAGTGGGTGAAAGTGCAGCTGGCCACCTGCAACCCCAGGCAGGAGGGACCCAGCCCATCTGCAGCCGCCCTGGGGGAGGGGGTCGCCCTCTGGTAGCTCGGTTCTAGGGGCCTCGGCTCAGCCTCCCTCCCGGCCCTGGCAGCGGCTGCGTCCATGCCGGGGTGGTTGCCGGCTCCTGCATCCAAGATTCCACCTTAAATGGGTTTGATCAGCCCGAGCACCGGTGAGCGCATGCTAATACCGGCTCCAATAAAGAGCAAATCAGGACCCGAGTCGACTGGTCTTATCACACAGTCAGAACTGATGGCTGCAGGAGTCGTAAAGATCTCATTTAATCTCGCGCCTATCTATCACCGCGGACGTCTTCACCCTCTTTGTGCTGGGGTAATATGTGCTCATTACGAAAGCAAAACAGATCTGGCATGAATAAACGCAGGATGGAGTGCTCACTTGCAATGTGACAGCATGATCAGTGGCCGCAGTAATCGCAGGGAATCGCAGCTAAATTATTCCATAACCGTGATTTGAGGGGACAGCCCGGAGCACCCCACGGCTGCCAGCGGCGGCGGTGACGTGTCCTGATAAAACATCCTTCCCAATTTACAGGTCCGCGCTTGACCAACCTGCCGCGGCGTGCCCGCTGTCTAATCATGCCATCAGCTCTGTGAAAAGGGGCTCAATTGGGACTCAAATGAAAGGAGATTGGAAAACTACCCTCAATTGAAATTACATTTGTAAATGAGGCAGAGTTTTCTGTTCAGAGAGTGAACGTCACGGTAAATCTGCCTGAGAAGTCGTTGTCGACAGGCAGCGTGGGGGCGGCCGGGACGCTGCCTGTGCAGGGAGCGGGGGTCTGGTTTGGGAAGATGCCCGTGCGGCCCCGGGGAATGGCTCCAGGGAGGCACGGCTTGGGGAGCTCAAGGAGCCAGTGTGCCCGTGATGGCCCTGCGCGGGTCTGTAACCCCGCTTCCCACCTCTTAAGTGGGGTGCCAGCGGCCTCCTTGTGGCGGGGCCAGGGCAGAGCCTGTCCTGACTTCCCCTCTGCCCTTCAGGGGGTGCCATACCCCGCCCTGCCCAGAGGACACAGCCTGCCTGTCTGTCTCCTGCCACCTCCCTGCGGCCTGTCTGCCCGTCCGTTCTGGTCCTCTCGGACGGAGCAGAGTGGGGGGCACACCCCAGCTCAGAGGGTGGGACCAGGGCCCCCTCAGAGGAGACAGCGTGGAGGAGGAGGTGCAGCCCATCTCGGGGGCCCGGATTAGCGTGACCAGCCGTGGGTACTGCATCCTAAGCCCCCTCCCAGTCCAGCCGCCCTCCCCGGTGACCCTGTCCCAGCAGGGACAGCAGTGCTGGGTGCAGGGAGGCAGGAGGGCGGGAAGAGCTGGCCCTCGCAAAAGGCCGTGAATCCCAGGAGGAGGCACACCCAGGTTGGGGGGACTGAGGACAGGACTTGAAGCCACCTCGCTCCCCAGATGCTGGCGGGGCCTGTGGGGGGAGGGGGTGCTGGCCAGCAGGCCAGACTGGGCCCAGAGCATCTGGGCCCTGTGGACTCAGCTCAGAGCCTGTGCGGTGCCCAGGAGCTCCAGGGTGGCCTCGGAGTCTCCCGCCAGCTGCAGGCGACCTGGACGGCCCCGCGGCCAGCCCGGCCCGGTGCCAGCGCGTGGCCCGCAGGGGCTCCCGCCCTGCCTACCACGGCCCCCATCAGGGAGGCGGGCCGGCCTCCTCGCAGGCCTTTATGTAAATCAAGGCCTAATTAGCCCATCCGGCATTTGTGTAGAATATCATTTTTTTAATTACCGGCCCTGGGCAGGTTTGGCTGCTGCCTGTTGTGGGGCCAATTACCATAAATCCCCTGGTAACAATTAACAATGCTGGAGGCCAGCCGCGTGTATTTGCAATGTTATAATTATGCTCTGCGCGCTTGTTAATTGGCCTATCTGACTCTTTACTTTTTATGCTGCTCATCTGCTCATTACCGCAGCCATTTAATTCAATTAGCACCTTAATTAGAGGAACAGTCTTGTCCGACGTCGGGCCTTGTCAGGGAGCCGGCCTGATGAGCAGAGAAACACGCAGGCGCCGCCGGGCCTGGGAGGCAGGGGGGCTGGGGGGCTGCCCGGGGTCCACCGGGGTCCACCCGGGTCTGTCCAACCTGCCCCAGGTCCCTCCACCCTCGGAGACCGAGGGGCCCAGAGGCCAAGGAGTGATTCCTCCCACCCCCGGAACCCCTAGCCCGACCTTCGGCTGCCCCCGGGTGGTCTATCTCCGGGCCCAGGCCGCCCCCAGGCCCAGCCCCGCCCCACTGGACTGTCCGGGCTCAGGGATGTTTTGTGCCACTCTGTTGGAATCCTCATTCCCTGACCATTAATTCTCCTAATTAGAATTAAATGAAGCATGCTAAATTGCTAGATTAACCAATAATTAAGCAGCCACTGCACTAAAACTGAATATCAGCCAGCCGGAGCGCGCCCCCACCCCGCCTCGGTGCACCAGGGGTGGGCCTGTCAGCCCCGCAGGGGGAGGCGGGGACACAGTCCCCAGACCCAGAGGGGCTGGACCGAGCCCCGAAGCCCTCTCCCAGCCCCACCGCCCCCTCCGTCCGTCCAGCTGCAGCCTGGATCCTGCCGGCTGCGTCCTTGCCTGGCAGGCAGCAGGACACACGGGCGCTGTGATGGGGGGGGGTGGTGAGCATGCGGGTGTGTGCACGCGGGGGGCGGGAGCAGATGTGGGTGTGTCTGTGTGCATGTGCCCAAATGTGTCAGCAGGTGAGGTGGCTGTTCACATGTGTGTGTGCATGTGTGTGAAAGCTTGTGCATGAGTGGGTATGTGTGAGTGTAACGGGCCCATTGCGGGACTGGACGCTTCCACCCTCCCCGCCAGGCCTGGGGCTGCGGGGGCTGGGAAGACGCTGGGAAGAGGGGGGCGCTGCGGGGGGGCCATCACCCCACTTTACTGGCTCAGGAACCCTGGGAGGGCGGGGGCTCCAACCTGAACGTCTGCCAGTGGGCCTCCGGGCCCCGAGTCCCAGGGGAGAGGCCCGCCCAGGTGCCCAACCTGCATGCCCTCCCCGCAGCCGGGTGGGCAGGACCGGAAAGGAAGGTGCTAAGCCACACGCCCCTCCCCCGACCAGGGAGGAAGAAGCCGGGGAGCGGGAGGGGAAGGGAAGGCAGGAGGGGCTGAGGCACCTCCAGCCCTCCCACCCCCACCCCCACCCGCAGACCTGGAGGAGGGGTCCCCGGCACCCCCCACAGCTCCTCCGGGCTCAGGAGGGAACCTCCCCCATGATATTCCATGGGGTCTAGGTTCCTGGCCCGAGCCCCCTCGGGCCCCTGCCTGCCTGGGAGCCTTGCCCACAACTGCCCTCCCCACCCACTCCAGGCACCTTGAAAACCCTCGCCCCCAGGAACCAACCCACTGCATCTCCAGGGAGCCCCCAGGTGGCCAGCTGGGCCTTGCAATCAACGGGAACCTGGAGCCCCTCAGGCCCCCCTCCTCACCCAGCGTCTCAGAGGCCCTCAGGTCGCAACCCCTGGGGGCGGGGGGACCAGGAGGTCCCCGCTTAGGCGCCAGGCCCCCAGCCTTGCTGCCCAAGGCCAGGGTCCCAGGTGGAGGCCGCACCTGAGGACTTCCACTCCTGTCCACAGCGACTTACCCGCTGCCTGACCGCCCGGTGCCTCGGTTTCCCCACCTGTGAAAGCCACTGAGAGGGTGCAGTGAGCTCCTGGTCAGAGCACAGCCTGGCCCGGGCGAGCCGTGCCCGTCCCCACCCACGGGGCTGGGGGCACGGGCCCAGCCGGGCCTGTGCGAGGGGACGCCGCGCTGGGGGCAGGGCCGCGGGGAGCTGGGGGACGGCCTCAGCTGCCGGGGGACATTCATCCCTCAGGCAGCCGCACACTTCAGGCCGGCTGTAAACTTCCTCGTAACAGCCGCTCCTGCAGCTGCAAGATATTGACTCAGAGGAGAAACAATGGCACGAATAAAATAAAAATAAAAAAGTTAATTATCCTTTGTGTTTGTAATTTAATTAAAGATGCAGTAAAGTTTTACTGTTTTTCCAGGTGATGATGTTTAGAGCCCCGAAAAGCTATTTGTGCTGCTGAGATTAAAGTGCATTTTAAAATGTTCCTCCAGTACTTTCACATTTGTTGATAGATTTTTAAATTAAACTTTAAATTGTAATCTAAATTACCTCCAACAATTCATGGTCCCTGTAATGAACTCCCACCGTTCCCGCTGTCATCCGTCGATGATGGAGTGTGAGCTGGGCTCCCGCAGCCGCCAGCCCCGGAGCGGCCGCCCAGCCGGAGCCAAACCAAATCCGCAGGAGGCCAGGCACCGGGCCAGGCGGCGGCCGCTCACCCGGTCGCCTGGTGACCGGTTGGCTGGCCTGGCTCAAGGGATAGGACTCTGGCCACAGCTGTGAAGGGCCTTCCTGTCCCTCCTCTGGGGCCGCGCACCCTCTGAAACCTCCTCCCACCAACACAGGCATCAGGCAGACGTGTGCAGAACCCCACCGGCCACCATGAGGCAGAAAAGGGCTCCTGGAGCTGAGAAGGCAGCTCCAACCAGAACCCAAGGCAGTGTCCCTGGGCCAGGTGGGCAGCCCCCTCCTCCAGGCAGGCCCGCTTGCCTGCGCTATACCGGGGGTGGGGCCCAGAACCAACGGAATCTGATAAAAAGAAAAAAAGAAGCAAAATCCAGTCTGCATTTTCATCTTCTCCGAACACATTCCCAACTTGGTCATTATGTGTGCCATCTGATTCTCCTTTCCTTCCGGTCCTGCTGCGTTTGTAACCCTTACTGGAAAACCCAGTGGGCAGGCAGCGTGTGTCAGCATTTCTAAGTAGGTGAGGGAGCCACCTCACCGCCTGAAACATAACATGTGGGGGAACGCTGGGCTTTCCCGCAACCACAGAAACGAGCCTCAGAGCAGCAAGCAGCAGTAGTCTCACTGGGTATTGTAGCACTGAGGGTGTGTTTGATAGTAGGAGCGGCCCTGACGTCGGAGCATCCCCCAGGTGGGCCACGTTCCTGGAGAGCAGCGTGACGGCACGACTTGCTGTCGTCCAGTCGCTCAGTTGTGTCCGACTCTCGCGACCCCCTGTCCTTCCCCATCTCCCAGAGCTTGCTCAAGCTCATGTCCATTCAGTCGGTGATGCCATCCAATCATCTTGTCCTCTGTCGTCCCCTTCTCCTCCTGTCTTCAATCTTTCCCAGCACCAGGGTCTTTTCTAATGAGTCAGCTCTTTGCCTCAGGTGGCTTCAGCGTCAATCCTTCCAATGAATATGCGGTACTGATTTCCTTTAGGATGGACTGGTTTGATCTCCAGTCCATCAACAGTCCAGCAACAGTCCAAGGGACTCTCAAGAGTCTTCTCCAACAACACAATTCAAAAGCATCAATTTTAGGTGAGAGTATGGTTTAAATCAGCAGACCTTGAGTAAAGCAGATTGCTCTCCACTCTGGGTGGGCCACATCCAAGCAGTTGAAGACCTTAAAAGAAATAAAGCAAACTAACCTCCTCTGAGGAAGAAGGAATTCTGCCTCCAGGTGGTCTTTGGACTCAAGCTACAACTTCAGCTCTTCCCTGTGTCTCCAGCCTGCCAGCCCAGCTTGCAAAATTCAGATTCACCAGCCCCACGGTCTCAGGAGCCAATTGTTTAAAATAACTCTTTTTCTCTGTGTGTGTAACCCTCACACATACTCACACTCACACTATACTCGCATCTACATTTACCTGTGTATATCTATACCTATACATCTTATTATAGGCAATTATTGAACTTCCCTCATAGCTCAGTTGGTAAATCATCTGCCTGCAATGCAGGAGACCCGGGTTCAATCCCCGGGTCGGGTTGGGAAGATCCCCTGGAGGAGGGCATGTCAGCCCACTCCAGTATTCTTGCCTGGAGAATCCCATGGACAGAGGAGCCTGGCAGGCTACAGTCCATGGGGTTGCAGAATCGGACATGACTGAGCAACTGAACAACAAAAACGCACCTAAAAAGCGCACTCACAGGGACTTCCCTGGTGGCCCTGCGGCTAAGGCCCCGCCTGCCAGTGCAGGGAACACAGGCTCCACCCCTGGTCTGGGAAGGTCCCACCCGCCGCAGAGCAACCACCCCCGTGTTCCCCCCAGCTGCTGAGACTGCACCCTGGAGCCCGTGGTCCACGACGAGAGAAGCCACAGGAAGCCCGTGCACCACAGCAGAGAGCAGGCCCTGCTCTCCGCAACTAGAGAACGCCCTTGGCAGCAACAAAGACCCAGCAACCTAAAGTAAATAAATAATTTTTAAAAGACTCTTGGAGCAACACCTCAACGGGTGTCCAGGAGCACTGCAACTAGGACCCCAGCCTAGCCGAGTGGACCTGTGAACTTGACCGTCACAGACCGTCTCAGTCTGCTTGCGCTGCCACCAGACACCGCTGGGGGCCTCACACAACAGGACTGTGTCCCCCGCAGTCCTGGAGGCCAGAAGCCCAGGAGCAGGGTGGCCGCCAGTCTGGCCTCCTGTGAGGGCCACGTCCCGGCCTGCAGATGCACCTTCTTTCTCCCTGTGTCCTGGTGGGGGGTGGGCAGGCTCACCCCGTCCTCTCAGGGTGCTAATCCCATCATGGCCCCCCCTCCTGGCCTCATCTAACCCTGATCACCTCCCAAAGACCACACCTCCCCATACCGTCACCTTGGGGGGCCGGGGCTGCCACATTTGAATGGGGGGACACAAACTTCGGGCCTCAGCAGACCCTGCAAGGAGTTTTCGGCGGGGTAATTGCCACGCCCCTTGGGGAGCAGGGAGAGACGGCGTGGGGAGTACAGGAGGCCCCACCAGATCCCGAGCGCTTCCCACACGGCTGACCTGGAACCAGCCAGACCGGACCTCCCCCCACCCCCCGAGGGCACCTCCACTCCCCTGCTCTGCGAGGGAAAGCCAGGAACCGCCTTCCGCCAGAGTCTGGAGCTGCTGCCATGCCAGCCAGCGCCCTTGAGAGCCATGGAGCGCCGCCTGTTCAGAAACGCAGGAGCCCGGGACAGGCCTCGCTCGCGCGGGTCCCTGCTGGGCTCGCGGCCTCGGCCCGGCCTCCTTGCTGAGGCTTCGTCTTTCTCAAGGGGACGCACGGTGGTTTCCTGTGTGTTCTCTCCATTGTTGGCCTGGTGACCCCCTGTCAACATGGTCTGTGGAATCCTTCCTCCTGATACAACCAGATCCACCCATTTTTTCACCTTACACTTTGTCTTTCTGGAGAAATGAAGAAAGCCTTCCCCATTCAAGGTCACGAAGACGCTCTCCAGCGTTTGCCCCTGCAGTTTTATCATTCACCTTTCGGTCTCTAGCTTCTTACAGAAGGTTCCCCTCTGTGTGTGGCGGGAGGTAGGAACTCCCGCTGTATTTGGCATGAGGTAGGGACCCTACACTCCATTTTCGGTAAAGTGACCCAGTTTTCCCAATATTGTTAGTTCCAATTTCTGTTGCTGCATAAAAAATTATCCAAACACTTCGGGGCATAAGGCATGGGTCTTATGTTGATCGTGTCTGAGCTCCTGGAACTTGGAAGTGACTCCTGGTGAGCTGCACTCAGAGGCTGGCTGGGGTGCAGGCTGAGTTGGTCCCCGTGTGGTCGGTCACTGGCGCTGCCTGTCTTCTGGAGTCTTCACAGGACCCCTACCTGAGGCCCGTCCAGTGCAGAGGTCTCGGGTAGAAGACTCCATGCCCTGTGCCTGGCCACCCCCAGAACCAGCATCCCAAGAGAACAGCCAAAGGCACAGCCGCCTCCGATCCAGCTGTAGACGGTCTATGGTCTTATCTGTCTGCATTCTGTTGGTCACAAGCAGGTCACCGAAACCAGTCCAGGTTCAGGGCAGGAGACATAGACCCTCCTACCTCTCAGGGGGAGAGTGTTAAGGTATTTGCAGAACAGCTTTTTCGTTAAAAGCACTATTCTTTAAAAAAAAAAAAAAACCAACTCCCATTTCCAAAGATGTCCTGTATCACCTCTGTCATAGATCAAGTCGCCACAAATGCATGGATTTGTCTGGGGGAATCGGTGTGTGGGGCTTGAGCGGTTTATTTGTCTGGCCTAGCGACCCTGCCATGCTGTTTGCTTCCTGTCTTTGCTGCTATTCGGTCACTCAGTCGTGTCCAAATCTTTGCGACCCCAGGCACTGCAGCAGGCCAGGCTTCCCTTTCCTTCACCGTCTCAGAGTTGGCTCAAACTCCTGTCCCCTGAGTAGGCGATAACATCCGACCATCTCATCCTCTGTCCCCTTCTCCCCCTGCCTTCAACCTTTCCCAGCGCCAGGGTCTTTCTCCAACGAGTCAGCTCTTCGCACCAGGTGGACAAAGTTTTGGAGCTTTAGCTTCAGCATCAGTCCTTCCAATGAATATTCAGGGTGATTTCCTTTAGAACTGACTGGTTTGGTCTCCTTGCAGTCCAAGGGACTCGCAAGAGTCTTTGTAGAATATTTTATTAACTGTTAAGGCTGTCCCCCTTTCCTTGTTCTTCCTTTTCAAAAATGTCTGAAATGTCCTTGTATCTTCACTTCTTAATACAAATTTAAAAATTGTTACATTTCTCAAACACCTTTGATTTCAATCAAATCATATTTAATTTGTAGATTAACTGCCGTCTTCACAAGGTGAAGTCCCCCGTCTACACACAGGACACTGCTCTCCTTCCATGCATGCCTTTGATCTGGAGACTTTCAATTTTCTACAACAGGATCGTGTGCATTTTCTTTAAGGTTAAAACCCAAGCTCTTTAGGGCTTCCCTGGTGGTCCAGTGGTTCAGAATCCGGCTTGCAGTATAAGGAACGCCGTTTCAGTCCCTGGTCTGGGACGATCCCACACACCGTGGAACAGCGAAGCCCGCACGCCA